CTCCAGGCCCTCCTACGGGTCTCGCTTCCCTCCTTCCACCTTTCGGCTCCTGGTAACTGGCCACCTTCGCGTTGGCCCCTGCCAGCGGCCGCCGCCCCCTCTTGGGGCCCCTCTCCCTCCCCGGCCCCCGGGCTGCTCCTGGGACACGGTGGGGTCAGCCCCTGTGCTCCGCCTGCCGCCTTCTCCTCGCGGGTCTGGGGCTCGGGTCTGGACACAAGGCCTCCCCCGCATCTCTCCCCTGCAACGGCAAGGCCAAGTGAACAAGGCTCAAGGAAGGCCCATCCACCTCGCGGTTCTCTGAACGAGGGAGGTGGCTCCGGGACAGCAGACACACAGTGCCTGACAGAAGCACTGATGGCCTGCGGAGGGGACCCAAGCCGGCCCCCCAGGGACCCTGCACCACAGCCGGCGGGCAGGTGCGAAATCCACGTGGGCTCCTGGCACCAGAAAGGGGGCCTTTAGGAAGCCCAGGGCGAGGACAGGGCCAGGGAAAGGCAAAGTGGGCAGCGGTGTGGGGCGCAGGCAGGCTCAGGCTCGTGCCCACAAGGGCCGGAGGGGCGGCCGGGAACGCGGGGCCCTGTCAGCATCCGGCCCCTTGCCTGGCGTGGGTGTGTGAGCCAGTCCTCATCTGCTCAAGGGCCCTGGCGTGAAATGAGCTGGACAGGGTTGGGCCAGAGCAGAGAATGGACCAACCCTGCAAAGGGCGGATCCCAGGGCCTGGGGCCACTTGAGCAGATGTGGTGACACAGGAGGGGTCTCGGCTACAGGTAGGGCCACTGTCTCTCCCTCGTCTGCATCCCCCTCCAGCCACAAGCAGCGGGCAGCCGGCCCCCGGGGTCTGCAGTAGGCGCAGGAGCACACGATGGCCTTTGGCACAGGCGGTCACAGGCTAGCCACACGCCTGTGGACAAGCTGGGGTGGAGGAAGGCGAGGAGAGGGGAGGGGGGTGGAGCAGGAAAGGGGGAGGAGGGAGGAGGCAGGGGGAGGAGAAGCTTCTAAAATCAAGGAGGAGAGTACAGTGGGGTTAGGGCTCTCTGGAGCGCGCTGCAGAGGAGGAAGAGGCACACACAGATCAAAGATGGAAAAGGGTCAGGAAGAGGCCAGACCAGAACCGCAGGTAAGGAGGGCAGGGAAGACAGAGTGGCCCTTGGCCAGACAGCAGAAGCCCAGGGCTGGGCGTGGCACAGGGCAGTAGGCTGGGGAGGAGGGGGTCACATCTGGAGAGAGGCTTCCGGTCACTTGACCCAAGCGTGAGGACAGAATGCAGGTGAGGAAGCCCCTCACCGCAGCCGACACTGCCAGGCTTACCCGTCCTGCTCTGCAGCTGGGACAGGCGCCTCTTCATCTTCACGCGCCGCCCTCCCCGCACACACCTGTAGGCTTTCTCTGGGATGTCATCTTCAGGGAAGAAGCCTGAGGACCAAGGCAGGTGATCAGGAGGCCAAAGGCAGCCGGGACGCTCACAGCTCGCATGTTCACTGTCTCCATGGCCCCATAAGCACCATGTCATGAGCAACTGCCTTTCAGAATACGCTTTCCCAGGTCCACCAGCCACACACCGCAAACTGGGGCTGTCTGCTGCTCCGCAGCCCAGCACCGCCACATTGTAGGCACTCACCGGAAATGCAGGCTCTCGGGCCGGGCCCCACCCTGTCACGTGAGCCTCAAACGCACACTCAGCCCCCAAAACCACTGAGCTTCATCAGGACAAGAGTCCCGAGGCCAGCCACCCGCCTCTCGCCAAACAAACACCACCGGCCTCTGCAAACTCTTGTCCACGCTCTGGGGGTGAATGTGTGGCCCCATCCACTCCCAAGAGGACGAGGTCCTGTCTCAGCCGGGCAGCCCCGTGCTCACCTTCCGCGAGGCCCTGCAACCTGAAACAAGGGGAGGCGGTCACTGGCCTCGGCTGCTCTCTGGAAGCCCCTTCCTGCCTGAGCTCTGAGGGCGGGGCCACCACAGGGAGGGAGGGAGGGGCGACCCCAACGCCAGCCCCTCCAGGGACACTCACTTTCGGATCACTTTGTAGAGACGTTTCCGGTTTGGAGGAGGGGTGTCCTGGTGACTAGCCATTTCAAACAGTCTGTTGGCAACAGCCTCATAGTCAAACTGTTTCACAAAGAGACGCCGTGGAGGCGAAGGGTGAGTCACCTCCCAGGGGCTCCCGGAACGTGAACCGGCAGAGGGAGCACGGAAGCCACGTGCCGAGGCCGCGCCCCGCCATCCCCAGGCCATCCCCGCACAGATGCAGACGGTCCACAGCACGTGAGGCAGCAAACGCCCATGGGAACGTGCGGGGCCGCGGGGAGCCTGTGACTTAAAACCCCCGTTAAAAAAAGCAGGAAGAAACAAGCAAGGTCAACCTAATGACTACTTGACCAAGACACTGAAGACCTTACTAACGCACGAGTAGTCAACATCCGGGACTCACTGGGAGCTGCCCTGCATGTCCAGCTCACCTGGTTACAGGCCCCGCCGGCTGAGCTCCGACTACCAGCGGGGACCCGAAACCCCCCCACGCAGCACGTGCCGCCCGGCGCCCCTGCCTTCCTCCGCGTCCCAGCCGGACAGACGCCACCCCCACTGTGCCCCAAGAGCAGCTCCCAGCATCGGGAGCACAGGGCAGGGGCTGAGCGCCCGGCCCACCGGCCCGGCCACCCACCTGGAGGACGGAGCCAGCATTGCCCTCATCGTCGTCGTCCGACTGCTCCGCACCCGGGTCGGGTCCAGTCCCACAGACGGAGCCTAGGACAAAAGGGGCCCACGGACTCAAAGACATACCTGGTGCCACAGGGGTCACAGGGCCCAACACGAATGCCTGGGAACCAGGAGCCTTGCCAGCCAGGGCCCACGCTTGGGTGGGTGGACGGCAGGGGCACCAAGGCCTGGGGAGGAGAAAGCCATCCCAGGGAAGATGGGGGCCTGACCAGTCCTCGAGGAGTGAAACCGAGAGGGGACTGTGAGTGGGCAGCCCAGGCAGCAAACGCAGGGGCAGGAGTCCAGGGTGCAGAAGAGCGGGGCTGGCCCAGCCACAGGGTGACAGGAGATGCAGCTGCAGGTGAGGAAGCGGACACTGGCCAGGAGTCTGGGGCTCTGACATCGCTCCCCGCACATGGAAGGTTCGGACAGGCAGCGGAGCGGGACAGGTGGGAGGCAGTGAACAGTGACGGCAGGACTGTGGGCCATCACCAAGCCCCGCGAGGACCTGGGGCTGCCTGGACCGGTGACTTGGCTACTGAGAAGGAGGTCAGGGAGGGCCAGGAAAGATGCCCCGGGTGGCCGGGCAGTGCCGGTGCGGCGTGGGGGCGGCTGAGAAAACCCAGGGGCACGCCAGCAAGGGCACGAGAGTCAGAGGCAGCAGAAGCCAACCCACGGCTCAGACACATGACCTTCCACAGGACACGGGGCCACTCGGAGGGGCAAGGACAGGCCCTTCAACAAACAGGGCTGGGAACGCTGGACGTCCACACGCAGAAGAATGGGGCTGACCCTGACCCCCCACCACATACAAAACTAACTCAAAATGGATCAAAGGCCCAAAACAATAAAACTCAGCTGAAAACACGGGGCAAAAACTTCACGAGACTCGAACTGACCACGATTTTCCTGGACGTGGCACTGAAGGCACAGGCGACAAGGAAAAGTAAGACAAACTAGACCTGACGAAAACTTTCTACTTTGTGCATCACAACAGACTATCAGCAGGGTCAAAGAGCAGCCCCCGGAGCGGGAGGGCCGTCCGCAAAGCACAAACCTGCGGAAGGGCGCCACCCAGAATATCGAAGAACTCCTAAAACTCAACCGGGAAAACCTGATTCAAAAACGGGCAAAGGACTTGAACACACATTTCTCCAGTTCTCCGTGAATGGTCCGTGAGCCTGTGCTCAACACCAAAAATCATCCGAAAAGTGCAAGTCAAAACCACGCCACAGCTCCACACCCGTGGGGGCAGCTCCTCTCAAACAGACTGACAAACGTCAGTGAGGACGTGGAGACGCTGGGCCCGTACACGGGGGGCAGCGGTGAAGTGACGCAGCCACCCTGGAAGGCAGGACAACGCTGCTAAAAAGTCAACAGAATCACCATCCGATGCAGCAGTCCCACTTCCGGGCAGGGCACAGACACAGTCAACAGCGCTCCCTGCCCTGGTGGTGGAAGCAGGGACAGGAAGATAAACAAGTGGTTCATGTAACTTTAAGCGATTTCTGCCAGGAAGTGAGAGGCCCTGGGGAAGCGCCCAGAGGGGCAGGGGCCCTGCAGGGGAGGGCAGGGCAGGGCAGACGCCCCGGGGCAGGACTGGTGGGTCAGAGACGAGCCTGGGGAGTAGGGACCTCACGAGGACACAGGAGGCCATAGAGCCGGGGTTCGGAGAGTGGGCGACACGTGTGCTTGCTTCCAAGGTCACCCGTGCACGTTTCTGCAAGGGCAGAAACGAGGGGACGAGACAGGAGACAAAGGCAGGGATCCCAGCAAGAGCCGCTGCGGGCTCGGACCCGGACGGGGGTGTCATCTCGGACACACGTGGTCCTCACCTTTATGTGGCCTCCTGGACGGCAAGTCCTGTTCCTCACCCTCCTCCTCCTCTTGCGCGTCCAGTTCATTCATGAGCTCCTCGATGGCCAGCGGGGCCTGCTCCACGATCGTTTCAAAGATGCCTCGAGTGATGTTATGCAGAACCAGGGAGCTGAGGGGCCGTGGCGACCAGGGCAGCTGGTCAGGCTGGACCCTCCAGGGAAGAAACACCAACCCCTCGTGTCTCCCTCTCCCACCCGGGGCCCCGCTGGGCCCCCGTGACCACGCAAGCCCTCTCTCTTCCTGGAGGGAACAGTCGCTCCCAAAGGCAGCGCTGGAGGGTGCTGGGGAAGGAGCTGCAGGCGGGAGGGAGGCGACACTTACTCCTGAGTGAGGGCGGCGATGCGGCAGAAGGGGTCGATGAGCCGGAGGTTCTGCTCGGCCGTCAGCTGCGGGGAAGGGGCGGGAGCCGCTCAGCCCCTGGGCCACAGACGCCAGTGTCGGGGTGGTGGGGGTGCTAGGCTGCCGCCCTCGCCCCGGCCCTACCTCGTGGGCACCAGCTCTGGCCAGCTCCTCCAGGAAGATCTCGATGAAGTGGCTCCGCACCCCACTGGGGGCCTGGCTGTCAGGGTGCAGGATCTCCGTGGTCAGCAGCTCCAGCAGCTGCTCAGTTTGTCTGAGGAGGGAAACAGGCCAGGTCGGCAGCAGCCGGACAGGCAGCAAGGCAGTGGGCTCGCGTGGCCCACGGGGGCTCTGACAGGAGCTGGAACTTTCACACCACACGCGTGGGACCCCACGATGCGGGTCGATGCCGCACAAACAGCTCCCGCAACTTTGGATTTACGTGCCAATGGCCAGGGCCGACCGAGGCACGTAACGTCCCCCAAGCCCCCTCCTGTCCTAGAGGAGGCAGGCAGAGGGCGGCCTGGCCCACAGGAGGCCACTGTCGCCACATCCCGAGTCTCTGCCGGCCCTGCTGGGACTGCGCAGGGAGGCTCAGGGCAGAGCAAACGCAGAGGTGGGAGACGGAGGCCAGGGCGGAGGAGGAGCTGATCCCCGGGTCCCACTGCCCTGGGCCTGAGGCCGTAACGTGTCACGTCAGACCTCGCCCTGGCAGGCTGGCCTGCGAGGTCTCAGGCCCGGGGCTCCCAGGCCAGAGAGCTCCAGAGGCCAGTCCTCAGTGGTCCAGATGCACCGACACTCCTGGGTGCTCGATGGCATACAGGTACCTGCACCTGAACGGTGACTGCGCATCCGGCAAAAGGCTCCCTGGACGATGCTCCACAGCCCAGGAGGACGGGGCCAGGCCAGGCCAGGAGACCCCTCCCTCAGGCTGGGGACAGTGCTTACGGTCACCAAACCCACAAACCGGTCCCACTGCACGAATGAGAGCAGGCAGAAAGGCAGGCAGAGCTGGTCACCCCAGGGCAGCAGGTGGGGGTAGTTGCCAGAGACAACAAGGATGGAGCTACTGCCATAACAACAACCCCAAAAAGTTCACAGAAATACAACCGTCCCTTTAACACAACCCCGTTTCAGGCACTAGCCACCTACTGGGTAACATGATCCTAAGTTCCGAAATGGGCGAGCCACAGCAAGGACCCCGCCGAGGCGCCCACAGACACTTCCACCAACGTGTGCACCAGCTGTGACTTTAAAATGCCTCTGTTCTAAGCACCAAGACCCCCTTCAGTGCAAAGCTGACGAGTGAGTGAAAGAGAAACATGGGAACACAGACTCGCCGTGAGCAGCACGGGCCGCCGCGGAGCACGCACTGGGGCACTGACCTCTCTTCCCAGCCCTGCGTCTTCAGGGCCATCCAGGACTCGTGCAGGACCATCCGCATGAGCTGTGGCACAGGAGACCCCGTCAGTGGGCACGTCCCAGACCTCCCGACATCCCCCCTGCCCCTCGGTCACCTGGGGGCCCCAGCGTGCCCCATAGGCCCTCAAGAGCCGCCAGTGGACAGGACACCCCCCCGGGGGAGGCCTGGGCCTGGAGAAGGCGCCACTGCAGCTGGGCTGGAACGCCCAGCTCTCTGAGAGCAGCAGGATGAAGTGTGGCTCCCCTGCAGCAGCAGAGCCTCCAAAAAACCAGGTCTGAACCCGAAACTGTCTCCTCTGAGCTCCCCCTGGATCTTCTCCCCGACAGAGAAACTGTTTACCTTCTCTGCCCACCACCCTCACTTCCCTGTCACGGTGGCCAACAGCATCCTCCCACCTGCGAGGATGAACCCTACACGCCTGCAGAGGGATCGGTCGTGGTGACAGGTAACAGAGGAGACGAGCAGAGCAGAGCACGGCCAATAGCCAGGACGCCCGTCCCTGGGGGCACTCACTCCCATCTCATGCTACCCGCTACCTGCGGGCTGCCAGGAGGGTCAGCCTTCACAGCAGGGCTGTGCTGGTGGACGTGGCCACATGGTGGGGGGGCCGGTCATGGGAAACAGGCCTCAGTGAGCTGCGGAACCCACCCTATTTAAGCCCAGTCCTGCATCTCAGGGAACTTTGTCTTAAAAGCCTGGATCTGTAACAGTGCAGAGCCTGGCCTCCAGTCTGCCCACATGCATCATGGCCCATCTCCCTTCCCTCCTGAGCTCCATGCCCTGCCCACCGGCTGGCCTTCACTTTAGTATATCTGACATCATACGGCGTCCGCACAGCCCTGGCCCAAGACTGAGCTAGTGGCAGATCTCAGGGGCAGATTATGGGGACCTGTCCTCAGTGAGGCTGGGCCACTGCCCTGCTGAATGTCCCCCATGGGGTCACCTGCTCTCAGGTAGCAGCACTGGCCCTTCATCTGGGGACTGTCCCATCACAGTGACAAGGCTGCAGGTCAGTGGGGGCAGCAGTAAGACAGTCTGACCCGTTTTTGTTTTTCCTGCATTTCTGAGTGCAGTCAACAGCCCAGTCACAGGAATGTGGTGCGGGAAGGGAGAAAGAAAAGGGGTCTGCTCTGCTGGACAAGCTGTCCTTGCCCGGCGGGAAGCGCCTCCAGAAGCTGGCGCCCGCAGGCGGCCCCGGGGCCCCACCGGCTTTGCTGGCTGCACAGGCACGTCTGCAGCAAGGATGCGACGGCTGCACCACCGATTCTGCCCAGGAGGGCAACGTAAGCCTCTTCCTCTGAACTGTAACGTAGTTTAAGTAGGTACGTGGTAACTTACTTATCGTCCCGTACCTACCTCCTAACCCTACCGTACGAACCGTCGCCAACGGACGACCACCGACGGG